TAATGATAATGATAATGATAATGATAATGATAATGATAATGATAATGATAATGATAATGATAATGATAATGATAATGATAATGATAATGATAATGATAATGGCAATCAAAAAAAGATAAAGGATAATAGAGAATATCAATTTATTGATGACTTAATTAAAAATTGTCAAATTTTGATTGATAATATCAAGTTATTAAATGAATTACCAACATTGAAGGGATGTTATTCCACAGGTATTCAAAAGAGAATCAGTAATAAGAACCCATTTATAAATATAATCGATCCATTGGTTGAGGAGCATTATTTAATAAATAAATTTGTGAATAACTTTAAGGATAGTTTTTTGAAAATGATTGGTATTGGTAGTTATTTGGAGATGAATAAAATGATGGTAAACTTTTCAAGAAAACATATATTATCGTATAATGAATATGGTAGTAAGAAAGAGGATATTAATAATTCTATTTTAATACGATCATTTTTACAGTATATATTAATTCGGGCAGATAAGAGTGTGTTGGGGAATGGGGATTTAGAGTTGTGTGAGATGTATTTGAATGATTTGAAGTATTTTACGTGTTACTGTAATCCAATTTTTGAGATTTACGATTTCAGTTTGAAAAGCAAGAAAAGTGAGAAAAGTGAGAAAAGTGAGAAAAGTAAGAAGGATAATCAGCATAAAAAAGATAAGAAAAAAGAGATTGAAGACAGTAAAGAATTTAGTAAAGAGGATAAGTTGGTTTATAAGTTAATTGAATTGGATTTGAATGGAGATAGAGTGATTCGAAAGGATAAACAAGAAATGGTAGAAAGGACTATTGAGGAATTTTTAGGGATACTCGAGGGAGGATATTTAGAACTTGAAATGAGATTTTCTAGTAATATTTGCAGACAAAGACAAAAGTTGAATTCATTGATATGCACATTTGATTCGATTCAACAATTGGCAGAACAAGTGGATCATAAGTTGGTTAAAATAATGTATGATAATGATAATAAATTGAATAAGGTTAATAGCAATGGGGGTGATGATATATTAATCTTTATGACATATGTTTATTATAAGAAAATTGAGATTATGATAAATTTTCTATTTGAAGGGTTTAAATTGGAAGTTTACAAGAAATGGGAATATGATATAGTGTATTATAATCTAAAGAAGTTGATTGAGAGTAATTTGATTGTTTTAGAGTATATTTTAGATTACAATAAATTTAAAAGAGAGAAGGTTGAGAGAATAATTGAGGAAAACTTGAAAGATAAAAACGGGGGAATTAATTTGAAAAAGATCAGTTTAGTTAATTCGATTAATAAATTGGATATTGATGAGAGTCATTATAATAACAAGAAGAAAAACAAAAAGAATATAAACAATTTAAAGAGAAAAAAAAATATAATATTGGATGAGAAGTTGAATAAACTAAATAAAATCGAAAAGTTTTTAGTAAATTTAATTAAAGATTACGAGATTAAATTGATATTAACGGAAATAGAGTTGAAAACAGTGAAGATATATGAGAAGAATGGATTTATTGGGTTGCCCAAGTTCAATCAAATTGAGGAAATACTTCAAAAGCAGAATAGAGAATACGATTTTGCGAGTTCTATATATTCTTTGAGGATGAAGCCGTTTTACACAGTGCAATTGCCAGAGTTTCAAAGCTACGACAAATATGAAAAATACAAGAGGGACACAGACAAGGCCTATGAGCAAGGAAAGTGTATCGAGGAGATCAAGATGTTGAACCAGGAGGGCAAGATTCGAATAATGGAGATGGTGAGGGAGATTGAAAGAGATCAAGAAGCCTTGGGAACAAGGTTGATTGTGAAAGAAAGCATCCAGTGGTACAGTGAGATGATGAGAAGCTCTATTGGGATGTACTCAAGCGTGTTGAAGTTGAGCAAAATGAGAAAAGAAGCAAAAGCAGCAGGTGAAGCAAAAACAGCAAAGACACCCAGAGCCGAGGTTGTGAGGACACAGTACCACCGGTTCTTTCCGGTGATGGTGCTTGAACCGCCACTGCAATAAGACCGGAACTGGTGTGGCATGCTCGAAACCATGAAACGCCTCCGACGTGCCCCAAAACCGCCAAAACCGTCAGAGGCAGCACGGGCACAAGCACCGCCGCGTCTTCTAATAATAGGCCGTCCAGGCCCGGGAGCGTGCTGGAGCCACTGAACCGGGTCTGCGTGAAACACGCTCGTCCAAGAAACCGCGTGCCTGCGCCTGCAGCAGTAGTATCCTTCATGCGTGCCGAGGCCGTAGTCTGCATTCCCCTGTCCCGGAGAGCGCAAACCGCCCCGTGGGTGCGGCGGCCTGGGCCTTTGGGAGCTTGCTCCTAATCAAGGACGGTGTCTATAAATAACATGTCGTCCTTTTGCTATTCTTATCCATTGTTTATTTTGTTTACCACCTTCAGTATCTGCTTTTATCTTACGAAGCTAGTCTCCAGTTCCAATTTCCCAGAATCTCCTAAACCTCCAATCCTCTCCCATAGCTGGTTCCATCTTCTGTGCTTCTTCGTCTTCTGGTGCCACCTCCTCTATCATGCCTCCTCCTCCACGACCCATCTCCAAGAACCCCTTTGCTGATGCTCTCTATAGCAATGCTTCTCCTGCCTCCTCAAATCGCCATCGATCCTACTCCCATAGCTCTATTGAAAGCTTCTCGCCTGACGACAATATATTCGATCGTCACAGAAATGCTGCCAATAATCACTCCAGTAATTTGATTGACATTGGCTCCAATTCCACCTCCAACAACATCCTGCAAAGAGAACGAGACAGGCAAAAAGAGCGCGAAAGAGAAAGAGAAAGAGAAAAGGAAGAAAGAGAATACAGAGAGTTTCAGGAATTCAAACAACATAAAGAAAGACAACGACAACGACAGAGAGAAAGAGAAAGAGAAATAGAGAGGCAAAAACAGAGAAATATTACCATAAACAACATCAAAAACAACAATTTCAACAATGCTAATAACTGCGACCCCAATGCCTCAGACCTTGATAACGATTTGCCTCCTTCTTATGACGAAGTTGCTGGCAGTACTTATAGAAAAAACTCTTATCCTTCTGAAAAGAACGACTATCCCTCCTCTCAAACAAACCATAAAAACTATAATTCAAGATCAAGATCAAGCTCATCTTCAAGCTCAACAAACCATTCCAGAAACCACTCTGGAAACACCTCCAGAAACCCAACAAGAACCCTCCCATTACCTACCATACCTTCCAGGCAGCATAGATCAAATAGCGATTCAAAAATACCTGATCCCATTAAGGAAAGGTCAAAATATAAAGACATGGAAAATTTAAAACTACAGAAAAAATTACTAACCTCAAAAAATAATTATTTTTTTGACGAAGATATGGATGGAGATATTAAATCAAAACCAGATAAAAAGAAATCCTCTTCATCTTCTTCCTCAAGAAATCACTATAAAGATTACAAAGACCAAAAATCTCGTAATAATTTCTCTGATGACAACAATAGTGACTATAAATCAAATAAATACTACAATAGTGATGATGCCGATGACCACACCAATTTCCCATCTTCTTCAAAATATTCAAGAAGAAATCTAGATTATAATAGCGATTCTTCTCAACTCGATCAAGATAAATATCGTCGCCGTCGTCACCACAATCGCGATCGATCTCAAAATCAGACTCATCGACAACATCTTTCATCCATTGATGATGGCTCAATACCAAGATCAATTCCAAAATCTCGTGCAAACCATTCCTCATCTTCTCGACACATTCTATATCCCTTAGATGATAAACGTAGACTTTCAAATCAAAACTCAACATCAAAATCAAAGTCAAAATCAAAATCAAAATCTTCAAGATCTAAAAAAAATCCAAAAAATAAAAACGCAGGCGTTGATACTATAGATCGTTTAGATGTTTCGGGTTTATTCGGTGCAAAATTTCATCACGATGGTCCCTTTGATGCTTGTACTCCTCACCGAAACAAAAATACTAAAGTAGCTCCAGTCGCTGCTTTCCCAATAGATGGTCCAAACTCAACTATCAAAGGTTTAGGTCCAAATAACACAAAAGATCAAGCAATCGATATAGTAATGGGCAATGGAACCATAGATGACGATGACACTTCAATTTTTGCTCGCAGTAAACCTCTTTCTCCAAAGGAACGATATGCAGCTTTAAAAAGCAATGACTCAGTTGTTGCTTTTGATGCAAAAGCAAAAGCCATTCCTGTTCATGGTGCAACTACAATGGGTTTAGGCTCCTCCACTTTTCTCGACGGTGCTCCTGCTTCTCAAAAGGCTGCTCAAGAAAATTTCAGTAATGGCTCTGCTTTAACCAGAAAGAAAACTCTATCAAGAAAATTTAGAGGTAATAATAACAGTATTAGCAACCCTGCTACTACTACTACTATACCTCCTAGACCTCCCGTTCCTCCAAGGCCACAACTTCCTTCTGACTCCTTTTATAATGATGATTTTGATCAAAAATCAGGCTTGTTAAATAGAGTCAAAACTTTGAAACTTAACCGTTGATCTTCAAATGAATCAATTTCAATTTATAACAAATAAAATATGAAAAAGTCTTTTTGTCACAATATTTTTTTCAATTTTGTTTTGTTTTCTTTATTTTTTCAATATTTATTAGAATTGTTTGTTTTTTTTTCAATAATTATTTGTTTTATTTTAGAATTTTAAGTATTTGAGATTTAATTTATATTTTTGATAATAGTTTGTTTTTTGGTCTTTTGGAGCTCCATCATTTTTTTTATTTTGATTTTACTATTATTACTATCATCATTATTATTACTATTATTACTATTACTATTATTATAATTATTATTATTATTATAATTACTATTATTATTATTATTATTATTATTATAATTACTATTATTATTATTATTATTATTATTATTATTATTATTATTATTATTATTATTATTATTATTATTATTATTATTATTATTATTATTATTATTATTATTA